GTATCTTACGCTCAAATATTCCCAAAAGTCTTTCATCTTTCTGCGTTAATGTCCATGTTTCTGCTCCATATGTGAGGACCGGCCTCAGCAATGTTTTGTATATAATAATTTTAGTTCTTCTTTGAATGTTTCTTGAGTGGAAATGCTTTTGGAGTCCATAGTATGCTCTATTTGTAAGATTTATTCGTCTTTTGATTTCTTCGCTTGTTTTATTGGTAGCAGTCAATAGCGACCCAAGGTATGTGAAGTTGTCAACACGTTCAAAGGTATGACTTCCAAAGACTGTTTCTCGTTCCTCATTTGCTGTCGGATCCTTTGTAACCAACATGTACTTGGTTTTGTCTTCGTTGATGACTAGACCGACTTGTTTCGCCGCTGTTTCCAATTCTAGGAGATATTGCTCAACATCTCGCTTGCTACGCCCTATTATGTCAATGTCATCAGCATATGCTAAGACTTGTATCGATCTATTGTAAATAGTACCGCCGTCCCTAATTCGTGTATCTCGGACTGCCTTTTCTAAGGCAATATTAAATAGGAGGCAAGCCAGAGCATCTCCTTGTCTGAGTCCATCCTTTATCTCAAAGGATCTAGAACTCTCTCCCTGTATTCTAACAGTGGCTTCTAAGTTAGACATTGTCATTCTCGTTAGTCGGATAAGTTTCTCTGGTATACCAAACTCATGCATTGATTGGTATAACACTGTTCTCTTGACACTGTCATATGCTGCCTTGAAGTCGACGAATAGGTGATGGGTTTCAATATTGAATTCTAATGTTTTCTCGAGAATCTGTCTTATTGAATGAATCTGGTCAATTGTTGATTTTTCTGGAGTGAATCCAACTTGATATTTACCAACTATGCCCACTGTGTAAACTTGCAACCTTTCGTAGAGAATATTTGCTAGTATTTTGTAAGCAGTTGTTAACAGGGTTATACCTCTATAGTTGTCACACTGGAGCTGGTCACCTTTTTTATGTAACGGGCATATCACGCCTTGAGACCATTCACAAGGCATGGTCTCATTATGCCAAACAAGAAGTAAAAGCTTATGCAGTGTCTGTAGTAGGCCATCGCCACCATTCTTGTAGAGCTCACTGCAAATTTGATCAACTCCTGGTGATTTATTATTTTTAAGCTTTTTAATGGCTTGGGCAACGTTTTCGATGGTAGGTGGTCTTTCGTTTGGGTTGAAAGGATTCCAATCATTTCGATTTGCTAGGGTGTTATCTGCTTCTTCGATATGATGGCCATTAAATTTTGCATCGAAAAATTCAACCCATCTGTTTAGGATTGAGGCCGTATCATTTAGGATGTTTCCTTCTACATCCTTACAGCTCCTTATTCTTGGCTTAAACTCTTTGCGCATTTTGTTTAGATGTCTGTAGAACTTTCGAGTTTCATTTTGATTTCTTAGAAATTCTGTGCTTTCCAATTGCTTTTGCTCAAATTGTCTTTTTTTTCTTCTATGTAATCGTTTTTCTTCTCTTCTTAGTGTCCGGTATTCTTCCTTTGCTCTTCTTGTGCATCCAGCTTGATTTGTCTTTAGGTATGCCCTGTTTTTGTTATCTGTTGCTTCTTGGCACTCCTTGTCAAACCATTCGTTTTCTTTAACTGGTTTGGTTTTCCCCAATATTTTTGTTGCTTTCTCAGTTATTATGTTTTTACATTTTGTCCACAGTTCCTCTACGTTTTCCCCCACCTCCAGGCTCTCCATTTCTTCGTCCATTTGTCTCCTATACTCTCTCGCAACGGTTTCAATGCGCAGATTATCAACATTAATTCTGTCTTGTTTCGTGTGTTTATCTTTCTTTAGGTTTGATATTCTTCCTCTGATTTTTGCCATTACAAGAAAGTGGTCACTGTCAATGTTTGGGCCTCGGTAGCTTCTGACGTCTATGAGATCGGAAGAGTGCCTTGCATCTATCAGGATGTGATCTATCTGGTTAATGGTTTCGTTATCAGGGGATTTCCATGTTCCTTTGTGTATCATTTTATGGGGAAATATTGTTCCTCCTACTATCATGTTTTTAGTGCTTGCAAAGTTTATTAGTCTCAACCCGTTATCATTTGACTCTTCATGTAAGCTCTCACGTCCTATAGTTGGCTGGAAAAATTGCTCTTTGCCAACTTTTGCATTAAGGTCTCCAGCAATGATTTTCACGTCATGACGTGGACATCGATCATATTCTTTGTCTAAGGTGTCATAGAATTCATCTTTTTCATTATCCTCCTTTTCTTCCGTAGGTGCGTGTACACTAAGTAAGCTATAATTATTTTAGATCAAAAGTCATAAAAAACTATTTGTAGAGGACTAAATTCTAAATTAAAAACAAATGTTAAAACCGTTCTACGAATCGAATGTACTTCAAAATTTTGCAAAAAATATAATAGATTTTTTAGACCACCCCTAAAAGTTCGGCCACACGTAATACAAGAATATATTATATTGTGTGTGTTTTATCATATTCATCTTAGATGTTTGACAATTTGAATTGTCAATTTTTTTTATTTTATGATTAAATTATAAACAATGAATTTTACTAAATACTACTACTACTGAACAATATTACTTTGTGAACAATAAATTATATTGTTTACAAATCGATCAATATAATGAAATGTATTCAGTTGGCGAAAAATCGCATAATGTTGTATTCAGGCAATAGCGCGAACCTTTTCCTGTCACTACCGGATCTTTATTTAACGTAAGATATTCTAATACACTAAAATTTAATTCCATGTTAAGTTAAGTTATACAACAATTCAATGAATTCCAATATACTGGTACTGTGATCTTTATTCCTAATGATAATATACGATAATTTCTAAACATAAAACTATAACAAATGTTATAATAAAACATGAATAAAACATTTTTATTATTGCTGGTTTCTCCTTAACTGAGTACATTTTTTAATCAACTTAATTTTTCTTTTAAATAATAAATCACGAAATTTTGGCTATTTAAATCATAGATAAATATAATATAGTTGATTTAAATATTGTCAAATATTAGAAACGTCAATATGACAAAACGCAACACGTAATACACATTCTTTTCACGGCGTCTGAACTGACTTTTAGGGGTGGCCTGAAAAATGTATTATATTTTAGCAAAATTTTGGAATACGTTTAAGTCGTAGAACAATTTTAACAATTGTTTTCGATACATATTTGAGTCCTCTACAAATAGTTTCCCATGACTTTTGGTGTAAAATAATTAGGGAAGCAGGAATTCAACAATTTAGAATTTCTCATTGAGTTTCCTATGGCCCGTTTGACCATTCACCACCCTGTATAAACATTTGTTTTTTTTATTTATTTTTTTTATTCTGTTGTTGATCTGATTTGTATAAATCCAAAGTAAATCTCTGATATTTCGATTTCCTTACGTATCTGTTTATCAATTACTCTAGTTATTGTTAATTCCAGCATATATCCAGCGATATTTCTAGTTCAAAGCCTATTCTTCAATGATGCATCGCCGCTTGTCGATTCAGTATAGTCAATTCAGTACTTCTTTATCAGGAACTAATTTCACTGACATTATCTTTTTACTCGTTCTTACAACTTCTACAAAGTTCTATTTCATTTCTTTATCAGACCAGGATCCCTACGTTAAGGATTACCCTGCCAGCTAATGTATTGTTGCAGGTACTTTGGCATGCAACCATATAGTCTTAAACAAATTAATAAACATTTTATATCTAATACTGTTTATTTTGGAGAACACATACTTCACTTAAGAAAGGTGGTATGATAAAAATTTCATGTGTTTTTTATGAATTAAATTTTATGTTTTATGTACGAGGATAGATTGATATTAAACTAGCCTTTGATAGATGGCGCTACTTGATACCGAATTGGTTTCGGTATTGACATTTGCCATTCATGACATGACGTCTGTCAAAATTTTAAGTTTTAAAAACAATTAGTTTGGTTTTTTACAACCGTCAAAAGCAAGCAATATATGTGTTTTTTTTTCAAAAAATGGAAAAAGTCGAGTATCGTTCGGTGATTAAGTTCCTCCACAAAATGGGTAAAACGAATGTGCAAATCAAAGCCGACCTGGACGAAGTTTATGGTGAGGTTGCACCTTCGTTAGCAACAGTAAAATTGTGGAAAGCTGAATTTGTTCGTGATCTTACGAGTGTTTTTGATGATGAGCGTTCCGGGAGGCTAAATGAAGTCACCACGCCGGAAATGATCAACAAAATCCATGACATGATTATGGCAGATCGTCGAATTAAGTTCCGCGAGTTTATAGAGGTTCTAAACATTTCCTACGAACGCGTACACAACATCATTCACCATCATGTGGACATGAAAAAGCTATCCACGCGATGGGTGCCGCGTTTGCTGACAATGGATCAAATGCAAAAACGTGTGACTAGTTCGGAGACGCTTTTATCGATGATACAGCACGATCTGAAGGATTTTTTTCTGGGATACGAAGGGCATCATCCACATCGACTACTTGGCAAAAGGAAAAATAAGCAATGGTGAGTACTACGCAGCATTATTAGATCGATTCGATGCCGAATTGCGTCAAAAACGCCCCGGTTTGGAAGGCAAAAAAGTGCACTTTCACCAAGACAATGCACCGGCTCACTGATCGGCCGTTGTCACGACAAAATTAGACGAATTGGGCTATGCATTAGTTGAATACCCACCGTATTCCCCAGATCTTGCCGCCATCGATTTTTTCCTGTTTTCAAACCTAAAAAATGGCTCGGAGGACGCCGTTTCACAACAAATGATGAAGTCGTCCCTGAAACTTTGTCCTATTTTGAAGAGCTCGAGCAAAAGTACGATTCGGGTGGGAAAAAAAATAGAACATCGTCTTACTAAGTGTATCGAGCTAAAAGGGTACTATGCTGAGAAATAAATCGATTTAATTCCAAAAAGCTTCTTTTTTCTATCAAAGGCTAGTTTTATATTATTCCAACTTCGTATGTTCCGTAATCATTTTACTTACTCCTTGTATTTATATTTAGGTTTGCGGCAGAGTTTTCAAGCTGGGCGAACCCACGTATTCCTGCAGAGAATGCGGTATGGACCCTACCTGTGTGTTATGCGTCGAGTGTTTCAAGAACTCCGAACATCGTAATCACAAATATAAAATGGGTACTTCTCGTGGTGCGGGATGTTGTGATTGTGGCGATCGCGAAGCATGGAAGAGAGATCCTTTCTGTACCATACATATGGCGGGACTAACGGAAGAAAACCAAAGCAATGGTTTACCAGAAGATATGAAGGAGCGCGTCCGAATTGTATTCGAGACTGCCGTATGGTACGCGTATCGCATGTTAAGTACCGAACATATTAAGGATGTACGATTAGGTGGAGCTGTCGAAAACTTTTTTGATATAGACACTTATTGTACTATACTCTATAACGATGAAATACATACTTTTGAACAGGTTATTAGTACTTTAACGAAAGTTCTTAAATGTAATCAAAGAAGTTCAACAGAGTTTGTTACTAACATTGACCGGGAAGGTAGAGCCATCGTTAAATGTTCATCTTTTCAGCACTGTTGTGATCTTAAACAAGATATCGAAAAGTTTACTTCCCGACACGGCAACAAACCTTTAAAGGTACTCGTTAACCATGCGCATCTTATATCTCACCAGATATTTGCGGGGAAGATATTAAATTGGCTAGAAAAGGTCTTAATACAAGGAGAAGGATTCAGAGCCATTTTTGCCGATGTTGTGCTGAAACCGCAAAATCCAGAGCCGTGTATCATAAAGGGCATCCTACAAAAAGATTTAAGTCTTTGGAAGAGCGCTAGGACCCAATGGCATCGTTTGTTAATATCAGGTATGATGCTTGAGTATGAGAACAAAAAAGCGTTAGCTAAAATATTTACCAAAAACTATGGACAAGTAATGAAAGACTTTATCAAAGACGATCACGATCATACTTTCTCTATATCGTCTTTATCGGTTCAGTTGTTTACTGTTCCCACCTTAGCACATCATCTAATAGCTAACGATGACATACTATATATACTTTTGAACACACTCATCTCTGAATGCAACAGAAAATGTAACAAAGCTGGTAAATTGGAGTTCGAGAGGAATCCCTCTTGTCAGACCTTTAAAAGAGCTCTATATATGTTATATGATTTAAGGTACTTATTGAGCGTCATCCCAGAAACATGGACTGATGATTTAAGAAGGAGCTTCTTACATGGACTATCTATGATGCTGTCACTTCTAACTATGATGCAAGGTATCTATTATTTGTGTTTTTAAAGTAAAACAGTCTTTAGTCATTCACTTTTAATATCAGTTGTTACAATAACGATGTAATTAGAAAATGGAATCCTTATATTCGCGATGTAATAGTCTATTTTTCTCACTAATTCAGAGTGGGATCTTAAAGTCGATATTCTGAAAGGAGTTATCGAGGTGATCTTTTACTGCAGCCTATTTGCTAAAAGTTTGATTAAAATTGATTGAGTATAGCAAGAACTGTCGTTTATGTACAGTTGTGTAGCTAAACACAATTTAAATTATTAAGAATAATGTGCTCTTCCTCACTCAGAAAACTTAATATATTATTTTGAAACTCAGTTTCAAAGTTGGATTGCGTCTAATTTTGTACTTAGAGCTTTCAACTTCCTCCACGGACGGAATATTACAGAGCCTTAGTCTCCTGAATTGCTGAATACCTAACTTACTTTAACAATTGCAAATTTCTTTATCAGTTTGGAATAAATATTTTTGGGCAGGTAAATAATTCAGATTTGTCGCCTGAAATCTGTGTATTAAAATATTTCCAAATAAATGAACGTTTTGTAAATGTCAAGTAAATACCTACTTAAAAAATTCCTCAGCACATCCAGCTGAGTGCTGGTGTAAGTGTAAGACAATTAAATTTTACGACTTTTTCGTCTGGGAATATAGTATCATCTTTTATATCAATAATAATATTAGAATTGCATAGATACGGTTAGTCGAATTTGTACCTACCATCAAAGCAAACTGTATTAAAATAAAACCACACGTGTGTAATTTAATACAAAAGTAAGTTTTTTGTACTTAAAATTTAATTTTGTATTATTTCGAACCCAGAAAACGAACACGAAGAACGTATTATTTCTGCGGAAATGGCAGAACGGTAGTACGTATGTATTTACGAAAATTGCTATTCTTTGGACAGTTTGTTAGCTGAACCGGTAGACACGCGGCCCTGGCAGAAAATTAGCGTACACTGGGAACCTTAGATCTCTTATAAGAATAAAATGAGTTTTGTGAAGTGGAGAGTGCGGTACTTAAAAGTATATTCGAAGAAGCTTCCGAAGAAGAGTTAATCAGTGAGATGGAGGCAAAGGATAAATACAGTGCAAGGTAATTTAAACTTAAGTACAAAGATGATGACAGAACAGGTTTAGTAAGTTTAAAGTCATCAAGTGTAAAGGTAAGCGCAAATTTAAATTACCTTTAATCCAGTTCAAAAATTATTCAGAGATTGCAGTCTAGGTTTGGCAGAGAGGATATCCAGATTGAAGTTTACATTCTAATAGTCCTTGTAACATTTCTGCTGTTTATGATATGATTGATAGTCAACTTCGTTCACTTGAGACCTTAGACCAAACTGCTTGAGTCATGTGTGCCAGAAGATATAATTCGACTATGGCATCTTATGTTTTCGTGTCCATGGAAAATATCGGAAAAACTGCAGAAATTACAACTTTAAAAACAGGATTTAGTGGGCTAATGAGCTTTTTACAGAGTGAAGTTCAAAATGATAAAAAAAAATTGATTTAGCAACGGAAGGTTTACGTTTATCTGCTGATAATAAATATAATTTCAATAGCCTTGTTGCCAAGAAAAATGTAAAATTACAGAAAACTGATCAGCCCTTAGCGTCCGCTCCTGGGCTAATAAATTATGAGGTTTACAGGTGTATATTTTTATTATAAATAATTTTTTACTTGAAATTTAATGTTTTAATTTAATTAGGAAACAAGACTGATATGCACTATTTAAAAGGTTTATAAAATAAAAAAACGACACAACAAAATCAAAACAGCATTTAATTTCAAAGGTAAATGAACAACAACACAATACGATACAAAAATTATATCGAATGATCCAATCCAAAAATTAGAATTTGTGAAACTTCAAATAATAGCTAATTTCAACTTACATTGAAGAAGACTACCGACAGAGAGCGAACTATACCTATTCTACCGATCGTATATTATATTTTAAGTTCCAGTACTTAGCCTCGTTGACAACAATGCCGCTGTTCAGAGAATTAAATTTCGAGAAAATCAAAATATTAAAATATGATGCACGTGCTGCCATCTATTCAACAATTTGTTAAACGTTAGTTTATTTGAATGCCACTAATTTTAACTGCATCGTGAACATACCCCCTTAATCTACTGAATTGCTGCATACCTAAATCACTTTAATACTACACTCACTGGTACTATACTATGCAATACCGCTGCTTATATGCCGAGATATTATTTTTATACAATCGATAGTGACAGTTCGCTGTCTTCGCAGTTTCTTTATCCTTCTTCTTTCAGTGCCTATTCGTTCCGAATATTGGCAATCATTCTGGCTATAATTATTTTATTAACTGCTGCTTTAAATAAATTCGTTGTTGTTGTGGAGAACCATTTCCTCAGGTTTTTCAACCATGATATTCTCCTTCTCCCAATTCCTCGCTTTCCGAATACTTTACCCTGTAGGATTACCTTCAGTAATCTGTATTTAGTGCTGTTTCTCATTATATGTCCGAGATATTCCAACTTTCTCCTTTTAATGGTATACATCACCTCTCTTTCTTTGCCCACTCTTCGTAATACGGTCTCGTTGGTTATCTTGTCTGTCCATGATATCCTTAGAATTCGCCTGTATAGCCACATCTCGAAGGCTTCAAGTTTTTTCTCCATTGCTTCCGTTAGTGTCCAGGATTCAACTCCGTAATACAAGTTTCTTTATAAAATCATAAAAATAAAATCAATATATAGATAAAATTCTATGTTTATAAAAACGGATGGAGGCTAGAGTTTTTTAATTTTTAATGAGAAGTGTCAAATGTGCAAGTCGACAAATGGAGCTACATTTGGAAAACTATCTTAAAACGGGGTAATTTAACCATTGTATACTCTTATTAAACGTGATTGCACGCTATTTTAATATACAGTAAATTAAACACATCAAAAATGTCTAAGAAACACAGTTTTTTCAACAATCATTTTTGATTGAATTTTAAAAAGTGACAACATTCTAGTGCCTGATTAGTCAGCAATGAATTCATCTTAATTTCAGTGTAATATGATGAAATAATTAAACATAAGTTAAGAAGTATAGTATTACTAAAACAAAAATCTAACAATACTTCGGTCAATATAGACATTTAAAATATTAAAAATTCCCGGAAAGCCAAATATTGGTGGAGAGCTGGGGTTTGCCATTACAAATAAAGTTTTAAAAATCCCTAATGATCGTACGTGTGCTACAAAAGTTATTCGAGGTCAAGGGTAAAAATTTAAGGTTTTTTGGATTTTTCTAAGTATGGTACGTATAAAAAAAACCTTAAACTAAAGTTGTAGATCTTAAAATGCTCTACAAAAATGGTCATTATGATTTTTTTCCTAAGAGTTACCATTCCTGAGGTATCGCGATTCTTAGAGTCACTACCCGTTAAGTTTTAGATATTACCTTATTATTGATATTGCTACTGATCATTGGGTTAACTATTGTTTTCATTTCTTTAGATATTTTACCAGACCAGACTTGACTTAAAGTATCTTGGTAATTGTCAATAAAACAAATAAATTTTAATTTTCCAGGCTTCTCTGTAATAATAATTCTACTGCCACACTTCAATAATTTTAATCGTATTTTTATAGTTCTGTCATCTAAAGCTACATCTTGACAAACATTTCTTAATTCATCCAATGAAAACTGGCAATTATCACTCGTTTCTATGGCTTGAAAAATTTTCTCCATCTCAGAGTTTACAGTTTCATCTTGTGAACGGTCAATTTTACCACCAGTATTAGGTTTTAAGAAAGATTTGTAACAACTGTGATGATATTTTGCATCAGCAGCGACTAAATCATATTCAAAATTAATACGTTCAAGAACAGCCTTTGAAGTATCATCAGTACGATCTTTAGCTAATTTCAACAGGGATTCTTTGAATTTTAGTGTAGTCACGTTACAATTTTTTTGCCACAAAATAAACAGTATTTTTAAAACAAAAATTTGGTTCACTTACTCGCGTTCTAGTACGAGGTGTAGACTTATTTTTGAAGTACTAGCCTGTTCCTACTAACGTTGTCTTTTCACTGCAGCGATTGAAGTTGTTCGGGTGTATGATTTTCTGCAATCCATGTGTATTGTAACGGATTTTTGAGTTCTTAAATACTCAGTAAACTGATCACCTCTCGCAATACTAGCCATGATTAAATCTGACATTCCACGATCAAACACACTGTTTTATTTTCGCTTAGAAGTTTATTGCAAATAAAGCAATACTGATACATTTTTTAGAGCGATAAAATAGAACAAATAACCTAAATGGTAGACGCTTGTCATAAGTATTTATATTCACTTGAACTGAACCACTAAAAGAAACAGTTATATGAACGAGACCTACGGAAAATAGAGGGGATTCAGTTAGGGACTGACTGTCTTGACTAAATGGTTTCATAATAATATAATATATATAAAAGAGACACAAATAGGTATTGATATCTATTTATATTGTAGATTATATCTAGAACTCTCAAGGAAAAAATCATAATTTTTTTTTGTAGAGAATTTTAAGATCTATAGCTTTGGTTTGAGGTTAGGTTAGGTTAGGCGTACCGTTTTCGAGAAAAATCCAAAAAACGTCAAATGTTGACCTTTGACCCCGAAAAACTTTTGTAGCACACAAATACGATCGATGGAGATTTTTAAAACTTTATTTGTAATGGTAAATCAAAGCTCTTCACCAATATTTGGCTGTCCGGGAATTTTTGCTATTTGACCACTATTTTTATGTCTAAATTGACCGGATTACAACCAATGTGTTTAATAATTAGTGTTTTCTTCAACATTTTTAATTACAGCTTAGCACCGACTTATTATGTTTAAAATTAAATTAACAATTTAGTTTTGAGGCAATAGAATCCATTCCTGTGTAAGAAGATCTTGTCCAGTGTTAACATTCTACATGTGAGCAGCAATCCGTCCTGAAGCATATCTCATACATTGTGCTGGCCATGGTAAATGTGTAATATCTTCATTATGAAACCAATCTCTTACTGTTGCTGCAATATGTGGCCTTGCATTATCTTGCATCTAACGCAAATCAGGACCTGCAGCATTGACAAATGGAAGTGCAACAGGTTCTAAGCTACGATCAATATATTGATATTGATTCAAAGTGCCTTTCACATAAATGGGAACAGTTCGATGATGAAAAAGTCCACTATATGGGCGAATAACCTGTTCATGTCTCTAGGTCTTCTCCAAACTCTCACTCTTCTTGAATCGGGGTAGAGATAAAACCTAGCTTCATCTGCTAATAATGCAGAACTCCATTCTTGTAAGCCCCAATAGACATATTGTGCCCAATTTAATCTGAGTTCACAATGTCCATGACGTAACATGGGAACCCGCAATGAACATCTGACGTGCAAACCAGCTTCATGCAATCTATACCTCAAAGTTGGATCACATAAACTAATGTTGTGGGTATTTTCTTGTGTCACACAGAGTTCTCGAACAGTTATATGCATATTTTGACGAGATAATGCTACCACAGTACCACATATCGATCATTTTGAAGATTAGTTACATGTTGATGACCTCAATGTCTTTTAGCGACATTCCCAAATTATTCAGATCGCGCAAACATGAAATCACGCTCCGAGACATGTCAAAATGACCTTGTGAAAGACCAGCGTCAATCTTATTCACAGCACTTACCGTTTGAACATGTGTTAAATGCCGATGCTTCATGGCTGTCTTTGCGTTAAATAATCTTGTTTTCGTAAGATTTTAAAGTAAATACAGATTGTCTTTAAAATTTGAAGCACCTTTTCTTTACAATTTGAAGCAGTTAATCGTACGAATTTGAGGCGCTATCACGTTTGCCTTAATAAAACAGTGCAATTGACAGATTAATTTTCATGGCATATCTTGATTTCTAGAGAACAAGTTTTCAAATCAAATTGTGTGTATTAAAAAAAAGTTTTTATTGAAAAGAATGAAATAATAGTGGTGTTCTTTAGACATTTTTGAGATGTGTAGCTTGATTTAATAGTTACTTTTATATGAGGTGATTTACTGAAATATATAAAATTTTTCGGCCTCCCGGTTTGAGCTGGAACATAATTCAACGGTTAGTCCACTAGTAATGTCCTAGTATGGAGACACATAAATTTATTTTCCGTTAAGGTTGAAGAGTTTAAAATGCCACTCAATGTATTAATTTTAACAGGTATGGATGCTGTAACTCGTCAAGTAGGTCAGCATATGGAGTACGAACCAGAATGGGAGTCAGGATTTAATCTACATATCAAATTAGCCTACTGCATCTCCTTGGCCGTAGATTGGTGTGGAACCGACAAAATCGTCTTAGTAAAGGCTTATCGAGCCATACTGAAAAAACTAGAGGAAAACCCATGTTACGAACCCAGTGAGGCCGGTAAAGTTCGTGAACTAGCAGATCACAGTACTGCCTGTTTACACTATGATGTTGCTTCCAAACCTGTATCGATACACCTGCCACTCACCAGGTAATATTTTCTTTTATAATATATATTAACTTATAACCAACACAAAAGCTCCTTTTGTGGTACTTAGCTCTTGGTGCCTTTTATATCTGTACAAAAAGTATTTATGTCGTTTCAAAATCCTGAACTGCTGTAGAATTTGTGTGACATATACTTATTTCTCATTTTTCTTCTGCTAATCGTTTTTCATTTGTTTCCACACACAATAAATCTTGACTGTTCGTGATTACGTAATCAATTTATGCTCTCTTATATTTGTGAATGTATACGACTTATAGCAACTATATAACAGGAGAAATGTAAGTTTTTGTTCTGAACGTAGAAACTATATCGAAAAAAATCAGGTGGCAACTAAATAATGGGACAAATGTAATGAGGTGTATGGCCTCCCTTAACTTTAATGATTGCTCTAATTCGTTTGTGCATTGATTCAACTCAAGATTTGCATGTTTGTAAAGTAAATTTGTTTCATATTTCTTCCATTTTGACGTTTAATTCAGGCAAAGTTAGTTGTGAGTTGTAACTCAATCTCTCCCATTTCATGATAGATATTTTCCACAATTTTAAGATCAGGGCTTTGGGAAGGCTATAGCGAAACATTTATGTCGTGACCATGGGATTTTTTTTTGTTTTGAGTATGTGACAAGCCACTTGTTGAAAAGATTAATTTTTGTATTATCGTATGGCATTTCGACACATTTATGTGATCACAATAAACAAGTTAAATTAAAATGAACTCTATAAAAAAACTTATTCGTATCGAATTTATATAGGTACAAACATCGAGATTGTTTATGTAGTTAATCGACTCGGGCGTCGCAAACAGGAAACCTTGGGAACTGCCTTCGTGGGCTCGCTGGTAACACTCCTCCGTTATGTGCTTAATAGATTAGACCTCGCCGCAGCTGCAGTACGGTAATGGTAGCTTCTTACTCCATTTGTGCACATATATGCACATCGACCATGTTGAATTCTGATGCGGTTAAGTGTGCACCAGGTCTTACGTGGTAGGTCAAATCCAGGTGTCTCTGTGATGCAAGGTATAATGGACAGCCGGAATGTGACGTCACGGCGGCCATATTGTTATTATTACTTTCCAAACAAAAGTTGAAATGCCTTATCTCAAAACTTTTTAATTTCAATAAAGTTAACATTTTGCTTCCTCTGCAGCTTTTTCTTTTACGTATAGTGTTTTTCACGATAATACCATCATAATTCAGTGTCCTATTTCTATGAAATAGAGTTTAAATTAAAGAAATTCTAACCTTACTTTATTGATACATGCATTTTATTGCTAGTTTTATAAAACAATTTTTTATAAAACATAGAGAATACTTAGATATTGCAAAAAGCGGAAAGATTAAAAAAAAAAGATAAATGATCGAGGAAAGAGATTATATGAATTTTGTAAAGAAAACGATATGATCGTTGCTAACACCTGGTATAACCTGGTACGACTACCCAAGCGACGACTATACACTTGGAACGCCCCATTCGATGATGGCAATAATCCTGAGACCTCAAGAAATCAAATAGACTATATTATACTTCTAAATGAGAGTTTCCGAAATGGCGTCAAAAAAGTCACATTTCCTGGGGCAAATATTGGATCTCATCATCAACCACTTGTAGCAGATATTAAACTAAGGTTAAAACGAATTCAGCTACAAAAACCAACAATCAATGTACTTAACTTTGATGATATAAATATAACATAAAAAAGAATTTAACAATAGAATAAAAAATATTGGAGAACAACTTGAAGATCCAGAAGAACTATGGAGTGAATTTAAAAAACAAGTTAACGAAATATCCACAAAAAATGATTATAGAAAAATTTAATCAAGAAAAATAAATGGATGACAGACGACATCTTAAAATTAATGGAACAATGTCGACTGATAAAATCTAATGAAACAGAATATAGACACCTGCAGAGAAGAATAAAAAAAAAGAGATCCAATTAGCCAAAGAAAAATGGATGAGAGAAAGGTGCGACGAAATGAAGGATGTAATATCTAAACACGACTTATTTAATGTGCACAAAAAACTAAAAGATATGAGTTAAATATTTAAAAAACGAGTTTCCTCTGTACTGGTTGACAATAATAACAAAATTATTGTAAATGAGCACGAAATAAAAAAATGGCAGCTGGCTGTATATATCAGAGTTGTTTGAAGATAATAGAAATTATGAAATGCGAGGTAGAACACGCTATAAATAATGCTAATATTAGAAAAGCTTGTGGTCTAGATGATACACCAACTGAATTGCTGAAACTAATAGAGGATGATAAGATAAAAGTAGTAGTAAGACTTTTTAATTCAATAGATAACACCGGAATGATTCCCACAGATTGGCTCAAATCTATCTTTGTCGCAATACCTAAAAAACACAATGCGAGAAAATGTTCAGAATATCGATTAATTAGCCTAATAAACCACACTCTTAAAATTTTCCGAAGAATACTTCACAGCAAAATTAGACGCAAATGCGAAGAAGATCTCAAAGATACCCAATTTGGCTTTAAAAATGCTATGGGAACCAGGGAGACACTTTTTGCACTTAACATCCTATTACAAAAATGACGTGTCCAATAAAAGACGTATTTGCATGTTTCGTGGACTTCGAAAAGGCATTCGATAAAGTACAGCATTTAAAATTAATGCAGATACTGAAAAACATCGGAATAGATAACAAGGATATTCGTGTCATTAAAAAATTGTACTGGAGTCAAACTGCTATCGTTAATAATGGAGATAACTACACCGATGAAATCTCCATACAACGAGGAGTAAGACAAGGTTTCATTTTGTCGCCAACATTCTTCAATGTTTACTCGGGCCAGTTATTTAAAAAGGCACTTGAGAGTCAACCATATGGAATAAAAATCAACAGGGAACTACTTAATGTGATTAGATGCAGACGCTACAGTAATTCTGTCAGATAATATGGAAGGTTTACAAATTCTGCTTGATTGTATTCACGAGGTAGGAGAGGAAATAGACATTAAAATAAACGCAAACGAAGCCAAATTTTTAGTGTTTAGTCGTGACTTACATCCCGATGTAAAGCTTCAATTCAGCGGAGTCCAAGTTGAGAAAGTTCACAAAATGACATATTTGGGAACTGTGATAACGGACCAACTAGATTCAGACAGAAATAAAACGTAGAATAGCAATGACTAAACCTATTTTTATGAAAATGAAGTCATTTCTTTGCAATAATCATCTCAGTTTAGAACTAAGACAAATAATGGTTAAACGCTATGTTTGGTCCGTACTTTTTTATAGTGCAGAAGTATGGACGCTAAAAGTATCGATCATGAACAAAATTGAAGTATTGGAAATGTGGGTTCATAGACGAATGCTGAAGATATCTTGAACAGCAAGGAAAACTAATGAAGAAGTACTAAGGAGCGTCAACAAAGATAGAGAACTGCTAAAGACTGTTGAAAACGTCGAAAAATGTCTTATCTGGGACATATAGTAAGGGGAAGTCGATATAAAATATTACAACTGATCCTTATAGCAAAATAGAAGGCCGTAGAGGTGTAAGAAGGAAACAGGTTTCTTGGTTGAGGAACATTGGACTCGGATATCAAATGCGGGACAATTATTCCATATTGCAGAAGATCGAGAAGCCTTCGCAATGGTGATCGCCAACGTCGAATAATTCTGATATGGTACGCGAAGAAGTTTATACGTTATAGAAAATAGAGCAATTGGTTGATAGTTTTTTGAGTGGTCAGCTGGTTTGCCCGGTTTTAGTATTGCTATAACTTTTTATTCTCCCGGTCTGAATTATGTTTGTGAAGAAATGTGCTAGCCAGGTTGTTGTGTATTTCCCGCAATCAGGGAAAACCTTTGGGGTGCTGACAGCTTCTCGCGCGAGTGATCGCGGTTTAATGTTTTTAGTCTCTCTTAATTGACAATGGTCTATGTATAAGTAATCCTTTGCAATATGAAATCTTTTGCAGTTTAAACTAATGCCATCTTAAATTTGAGTTTTTTTTTAATAATCGTAAAATTATTTTTGGTTATCTCATTTCTTGTAATTATTCCCACTGTGCGGATCCTTTATGATTTACATCTCTTTCGATTTCCCTTGTCGGTTTCACTTTTTTATGTCTTGGAATCCATAGGAGAGTAACTGAATTTTCCTTGCTTAGCGCATTCAATTTCGCCGAGCACTTTTTTCTTGTTCCGGATATTTTTTGTCCAAGTTTAACTCTACTCTAATAGGCGAGATTCCTCTTTAAAGACGCGTAGTATTTTGCACAGGCTTTCTGAATATTTAGTTCTAGACCCGTTAACTCATATTCCAGTTCCTTATGCTGTTTTAAAACCTGTTAACCTCTTGGTGACATTCTTATTAAGCTTTGAAATAGTGTCTTTATCCCATTCGTTTTTACAACTTAACTTTATAGTAAATTCGTTTATGACACGGCATGCTTTAATACTGACTTCCGTTAGACGTCCAAGTTGAGTTGACAATTGGATCTAATGATTCCTTTGTAAATGATCTTGTTTTTACGGTCTCCACTAGGATCTGACATTAGCAGGATTACTTCCATATCAGCCGTTGGGCATGTCCTCAGTGCGCCTGTATTCGCTCCGTGCGTGACCATGGTAGGGATACATTGAAACGATGCCAGCGTGCGTAGCGGCGAAATATGACAAAATGGGAATATTGGACAAAATATTTTTACGCATAAATTTTATCAAAAATGCGTGCAAATACACGTTGCGTATTTAATTGTGCTAATAATAGCAAAAATAGTGATTGTAGTTTTCATAGGTTCCCAAAAATTACATATAAATTAGAAAAAAGAAAAAGATGAATTCGTGCTATTAATATGAAAAAGTAAATATCACATAGTTTCATTTTTATGCAATTGAAATAGAAAAAAATTTAAATAATTTACCTTGAATGATATTTCATAAGGCTACAAGCTAACTGCAGATGACTTTAGCTTTTATATCCTAACTTTTACTATTATTGTTTTTAATTATATGCTCTTTTGCGTGAAAAACTTGATTTGCCAGTACTAGATTTTTCCCTTTCTTTTCCATTTGGAGTTGAAAAGGTATATTATGATGAATTTTGAGAAACCCAGTTTTTAATACTACATTTATTTTGTACATAAACTTTAAAATATAGCTAAAAAACTAATTTATTAATAATTGTCAATTTCGCATGTATTTAACAATGTCAAACATATGTCATAAGTTTAACCTGAAAATTGGGATTCCCAAATTGTCAGATGAAGGCGGTAGGTGTCGCATCAGTCACGCACGGAGCGAATATGCATACATATTACGCGAGATTGTTCCTAGTGTTTCTCAGACGGACTTCACTAGGATGAAGAAGAAGTAGCTCTCTCTCATCATACTTAATGAAGAAAAATGTTTAGCAATCCCATCATCCGAATACAGCCGGCTTTGGTTGAAGCTTTGGTTGATATTCCGAGGTTTTGAAAATAATACCTATAAACAACAACTTGTTCGTTATACATTTTCGTAAAATTTTTAAAATAATCTTTTTGAAAACGATTTCCGCGTTGGAAATCGAAACGTCAAACATTAGTTAGTTAAAAATGTAATTTTCATTATAATTAATTCTGGCTTAATTCCATATAAACACAATATTTTCTGATTTTGTTTTATCCAGTGCGTACACACTTTCAAATTTTGGAACCTCAGTGGTGTATACATTATTTTTAGATTCAAATATTGTAAGTGATCCACTGGGTGTTCTAATTTTGTATCTAATAATATTCGTACTCTTTCCTATGCTTTCATATCTTTATCTACTTCATTGTAAAACCGAATATAGTTACTACTTCTCATGTCGTTCTTGCCTTTTTTATTTGTCCCTGGCAGCAAATAAGTAATCTTATTATTAACAATTCCAAAGATGACTTTCTGTACTCTAGTCAGTTCAATTTATGCTAGTTTTGTAATTGGGAGAACTAAGACTTAATTTAGTAAACATGTAATTGATTGACAAAAGGTATTTATAAAATTTATTTTATAGATTTTTGGCGGCTCTTCATTTACACCTCGAAAAATACAACCTACATTTCGACAAAGCGGAATTCCTAGTGCCCAAACCGACACCAGTCCAGATAATGGAACCAGTTCTGCGAGCCCAGGTGATGATCGCGCAAGTACACGCAGGCATGTGGAGAAGGAATGGCTACGCCCTGCTGAACACTCTGTTCTTTTACCACAACGTCAAGTGCAGAACCGAAATGTTAGACCGGGATATCACTCTACTTCAAATAGCCGCTTCTTTAATTGAAAGCAACGAGTTCCTGATTCATATTTTGAACAAGTTTAATTTGATTAATTGGGCTATGACTGATTTCGAAATTAACAGTTTAAAATCTCCAGAAGAAGATAGCATTCGTCAGACCATCAATTTAGTTGAAGAGATGTTGCATGTGCTCATATTTATCATAGGAGAAAGGTATTTATCGTTACTATAATACTTACAGTTGATTGCATAGACATATATTCAGTGTTATATCAGGTGATGGCGTAATCTTAATTGTTTTGCTAAATATTTTAATGGTATAGTATGTCCGGGTTATTTGCACATTCATGACATTATTAACGAATTGTTTTATATTAGGTTCAGTAACTACTCACAGAACCTAAAATCATGAAACTGAGCCTAGCGTATTAACACAATGGAATAAAAAGCAATATAGCAAAGAATGATATCAAACAATGTAACGATTTACAATTATGGCCCGAATATATCAGATGCCTCCTTGGTGTCAGTTTAATTTTCATTATTGTCAAATTTTTGTTTCTTCTACGTGGTTATACTCCTCATCCAATTCCGTTTCATTGATAGGTCAAACGCAATATTGTAATCATTAATACCTACATCAACTGTAACACATTTTTACATGAATGTTTACAATTAGCGTTTTCTACTACTAAGAAATATATCTACGTTTAGATAAACAAACTGTCAACATACCACAAATGCTTGGATCTAAGACACCGGGAGTAGAATTATTGAACTAACCACACTAACGTTCGGAGTAGAATTAAATAATTTTATGTGTTTCAGAAAATCTTGATTAAAAAGATAAGATTCAGCTCTTTTGGTGTTACCACATTATGATCCCATAGTTGACGATTTTGTTCAGTAGAGTTTACCGATTCATTCTTGTACAACTGAAATTTTTTGGAGTAAAAGCGTTATTTTTTCTTTAATCGTTCATTCTCTTTCTTCTTCTTTCGCTTCCTCTCCTTTCGGAGATTGGATATCATCAAGGTGGGTCAAATATTTCTACTAGGCTTTCTTTTTTTGTACTGCTTTACATATTTCTTCATCATAATTTGCTCATTCTTTAGTCCCCTGAAACCAAGAATTTAAACCTTCTTCACTTCTCTTGAATCCTGTTTCTGAAAAATTTTGAAACCAATCAACAATAGGTAGATTATCTTCAGGATCATATTTTCTATTTCCTGCGATACAACATTCATTGTAAGCAATAGCTTTTTCCATGATGCTTGGATAAATCAGGTAAAACAGAGATCCAGGTGTCGTGGAGCACTGTCAAGTAAGAGTAAAGCTTTTATAGGTAAGTTAGATCTTTTCGTAAATTTCTTCACTTCTGGGACAAAATCTTTGTTCACTAAAGAGCTCTCTCGTGGCCCAAAGTTTAAATTGGTTCTTATATGTAACAGACTGGCAAACAAATGTTTTTGAAAGCTGTGGGATTTTTAGATTTACCAATCACTAACAAATCCAATTTGTGTGTTCCAATAGCATTTGAACAGGGCATAAATGTGATTCTACACCATTACTCACTTTAAAACCTGGTTCGCTCGCTTCTTTTGATGATACGAATGTTGTTGTTAGACAGCAGTCTCCAAAACAGTCCACTCTCGTCTGCATTATAGATTTAGTCAGGAAGAAGACTCAATTCTTTGACATTGTCTTTAAAATGCTGGATAAGTAGTAACAGTCATATTCGTAACTTGACAATTTTGCAACTGATATAGTTAACACATAGTTAATATAGTTAACAGACGGATATCAAATCGCTTTTTAAATTCATCCAGCCCCTTAACACTGATACGAAAGTAATTTTTCTATGTAAATTTTTTTTTAAAACTTATAATTATTTTTGCTGTTAGAATTTCTGCAGATAAAGGAATGTATAAGGAACGTTCTTGTATGAACCACATGTAGAGAGCGTTATCCATCTTTAAACATTCACCAGCTCTCAATGTTTTACGCTTTCCTGATCCAGAGTCCATCGTTTCATGTGGTCAACAATATTCTGTTTTTTTTTAAGATCGTGCCAATTTGCACATGTTTACTTCACTATCTAAGTTCCTTGTTTCGCTTTACTTGGCATTTTTATTTTTTTATTTTTATTCTTCTCACTTAAAACAGCAGGCAAATAAGTATGTACGTGCAAGTGTGTTAGTGAGATTTTAATATATATATATATATATATATATATATATATATATATATATATATATATATATATATATATATATATATTAGAATAGTCCGCAAGCCATGTTAATTCAAGTAGTTCACAAATATTCAAACACATAATACAAGAACATAATTCTGTTGTATTATGTGTTTTTGAATGTTCGTTTTTTACAATTATGTGTTATATTTTTTTAATTTAAACATGGCTTTCGGACTATTTTAATCTCAACATTTATTATCTTGATAAAGAAACTAAACAGTTTCGAAAGCTTGACTTTCAATAAATTAGTATACATATTATGTTAATAGTGTTTTAATCACTGGGCCTTTTTGACTACACCCTCACGAATCTTTGGAAGTTTTACTATACTAGCCGATCACAAAAACAACTTGTATAATACATATATACATATATATATATATATATATATATATATATATATATATATATATATATATATATATATATATTAGTGATGTAACGAATATTCGCATATTTTTGCATATTCGCAAAATTTGTGCGAATGTTTTGCGAATATTACACAGCTTGCATTTAGCTCGTTCAGTATCGAAAAGTGGTGAAAAATAAGTCCATATTTCACTATAATTTGATTTACTCATAGTAATAAATCGCTAATCACACTTTAACTAAAAAATTCACTTGTATTTGTGCACGAGCAGAGCAGGGCAAGTGGAGTGACTTGTGTCCCGTGAAATTTTTATTGGAACTATAACCAGAGAACTTAGTTCTCTGCTATAACTTTCTCTCTATAACAAGTCAAATTTGATTATAACAAGAGAAAATAAGATCGAAAAACGTGCTTTCTACGTTTTTGGCCCGGACGTGACTATAAATAAATACCTTTTTAAACGTCCCCTCAATAAACTTAACCGCCTACAATAAACTTCTTTGCAATAAATACAACTGTTTCACACATCTTTACTTTAGCAAATATGATAGAATGATACTGGACAATTTAAAGCAGTTAAAAATGTTTTTCCAATCCTACACACCTCGCGCAAATGAGACTGCCGGCAGTGCCGGAGACAATTAAAATTGCCAAATTAAAAAAAAAACTGAATATTCGCATTCGCGAATGTCGGTGGCATATATTCGCATTCGCGAATGTTTAAAAAATGACATTTGTTACATTACTAATATATATATATATATATATATATAATGCGCTGTCACTTGTCATTTGCAAAACTCGTTAAGTATTTACACAAATAGTTGGTGTAATCAGCTGTATTTAAAAAAAAAATTAAAAATTCGTTTACAAATTTCATTATTTTTCTTCAGGTATATGCCAGGAGTAAGCAACGTCACAGTAGAGGATAGAATACGGAAGGAGATAATCCAGTATCTTTGTATTAAACCGTTGCCACATTCAGAGTTAGTAAAAACAATTCCGGAAGATTTGATTTCTAGAGAAGTGGAAATAGATGATATCATTCAAGAATTGGCTAATTTTAAGAAGCCTGCTCACGGGTATGTTGTAGAACAAATTGAAAGATAATTTTATTTCAAATTTCAAATTAGCGTATTCGCTGCGTGCAATAAAATGCGATATACTGCTAGATATATATATATATATATATATATATATATATATATATAATATATATATATATATATATAAAAAAATTAATAATTTTTATTGATAAAAATTGTAATCACAATTGAAAGCTCGAGTAAAAAATAGTCCTTTTTATTGACTCCAACCCATCAAAAACAGTGTTATATATATATATATATATATATATATATATATATATAAATATATATATATATATATATATATATATATATATATTTATATATATATATATATATATAATTATATATATTATATATATAATTATATATATTATATATATTATATATATATATATATATATTATATATATAATTATATATATATATTATATATATATATATATATATATTATATATATATATATATATATATATATATATATATATTTAACGTGATTATTTCGACAAAACACAATTTATCAGTATGTTGGAAATATCGGGTATGTGGTCTATATTAAATAAAAATCTTTGTTTTTTCAAAAATCAATATTTCGCCATTTATTTAACAGCTTCATCAGGAGTAACTGTAAAAAACAAACATTTCAAAAAACTGACGTACACTTAGATTTATAATACTTACAGAAATTAAAAGATTTCAAACATAAATAAACTTGACATTAAGATAAACATTTTTGATAATGTATAATTGTATAATGCATGTTAAAATATAAATATATTTGAGCACGTTCGTTAACAATAAATAAGATGGAAACAACTAAAAGTTATTTAAATGCAAAAACTAACAATGTAAGAAAACATTAGAGAACTATTATTTCTTTAATTAATCTTTAAGGCTAGTTAGTATGATTAATCATTAAGGTGAGTGAGTTTTAAATTTGTTCAATATATTGCAATATATGTTGCTTAATTGCCCCATGTCTGTTTTATAATTTAAAGTTTGTTTATTTTTGTTGATGTGGTACATCTCCAAAAATAACCTACTTTTGTAATTGTCAGTCTGTGCAAAATACGAGCATTGTTATAGTGTAACAGATGACCGGTGTTTTTATAATGCTCGACTACTGTACAACTATTTTTTCTTAAGCGGCAATCACTTTTGTGCTGTGTGATACGTTGTTTTAGCCACTGCGATGTATGGCCAATGTAGCTTTTTTCACATCCTAGACACGGTATTTCATATACCACATTACTCCTATATAAGGTTGGTACTGGATCTTTAATTTTGGAAAAAAGTTGTTTGCTCTTTATGGTATTGTATTTAGCTATATTAATATTGGAAACATCTTTAAATATGGATTAGGGATGGTTGGAACAGAGATTTTTTCAACAACTGTTACAACCTGTTTCAGTTCCAAAAATTATCTGTTTCAAAAAAACTGCTTCATTTCCAAACTGTTCCAAGTCTAACACTGTGTTATGGGTTGTTTCAGGACCGGTTCGGTTTCTTCCAGAAAGGTTGTTGCATTAACAATAGACCATTGTATTTGTGGTTGTATATTTTGAAAATTTGAAGTTTTGTCTCGAGTCGACAATTCACAGTTTACAATCATGGTTTATGCGCATGCACATACTTTCCACTCCACTGGAACTGCAACAACCATATAAAAGAACAGCAATGCAACACCGGTCTCTGAAGTAATTGTAAATACACTGGTTTGTTGTGATAAAAAACTGTTATATTGGAACAGGAAAACTTATTGATCAATATCGGTTCCAACCTGTTCCAAATAAAAACCTGTTTCGAAAAGAACAGATCCTGTTCCAGAGTGGCATCTCTAATATGGATATGACTGAATGAGTTAGACCATTGATAAAGGGGAGTTTTTTATATTTGATTGACTCATTGTTGGAATCAAGGACAGGACCATCATAGAAATTACTGCTGTAAATGAGTTTTTTTTTAAATATGTTTAGGATAGCCGTTGTTTCGAAAAATTTTGTATAATATGTCCAGATTTTTCTGTAATAAATTATCATCAACAATGGACATTACCCTATTTTTCATACCCAATATTGTATTATATTTTTGACGAGTGGTGTGGTTTGAAAAGTAATTCATATACCTGCCCGATGCAGTTGGCTTTTGGTACCAATCCAATGTCAGAATGTTGTCATTTGTTCTTATTACCTTTGTGTCTAAAAATGGTATACTAAGATCTGTCTCTGTTTCAATTGTGAACTGAAGATGTTTGTTAAATGAATTAAAGATGTTTAATGTGGTATTGATGTGATAAGATTGAACTGCACATATATGATGTCATCGACATATTTATATATAAATGGTAATTCGAAAGGTAATTGCGTGATCACATTGTCTAAGAGATGATCAGTTAGAATAGTAGCAAGGATGGGACTAATCGGGGAACCCATAGGTGTTCCAAAAATTTGGGAGTAAAATTTTCTATTGAAACTGAAATAAGTATTATTAAAAATGAACCTGAGAATTAGTAGAAAATTACCTTTAGAGAATGTCGTGTAGTCTTTTATAAGGTTCCAATTTGATTCTATAATGTTCGTGACCATAGTTAGTGGAATGTTTGTAAATAAAGAAACCACATCCAAAGAAATCAAAACATAATCTTTTGGCAACTGCATTCCCCTAACAGCATTGACAAAAGTAAATGTGTCCTTAGAATTATAATTATTGCGATATTCAAAGGCATCATTTAATATATCAGCAAGAAATTTAGAAATATTATACGTAGTGAACTTTAAAGAACTTACAATAGGCCTGAGAGGAACGTCCAATTTGTGGACTTCATGCAAACAATAAAGTTTAGGAGAATATGAGTCATAGATTGTTAACTTTTTTGCAACTTGTTCAGTAAGTTGATGTTGGTTTTTTAATGTTTTTATTAAGTCATTATATTTTTTCTGTATCACTGTAGTAGGGTCTTTGTCCAAACCAATATATGTCGATCTGTCGTTTAACAACGTTAATGTTTTGTCGATATAATCTTGTTTGTTCATAGCTACCGTACAACCACCTTTGCCAGATTGTAAAATATATATGTCTGAGAATGTAACTTGAAATATTTTTGAACATATTTAAACGTTTTGTTTAATGTTGTGGGGGGTTTAGATGTTGAATTGTGTAGATAATTCGTTACCACATTTGTTACTTGTGCCCTAAGTAGATCTTTGGATTCAACTGTCACCTCATCGATGATATTTTCTCATCATCACAGTCATTAACATCTTAGTAGATGTGTTGTGGTTCATAATTGGGCTTCAGCAGCTCGGACAGTTTGATTGATAATATTTCTCCACTGGTCGCGGTCATCAGTTATATGTATTGCCTCAGTATACTGTTTATTGAGAAGCTTTTTAGTAATGTCCGCCCATCGCTGTGGAGATCTTCCGCGTTGGCGTTGAGTCTGAGGCCTTCCTTGGACCACCAACCGCTCCATTTTGTGATCACTTCGATGGATATGGCCAAAGAACTTTAAAATCCTAGAGTAAACGGTACTAGAGAGACGCTGATCCGGTTTAATTTCATCCAGAACCGAGATATTTGTACGGCGAGCCGTCCATGGAATTCGAAGCAGGCGTCTCCATGTCCACATTTCAAAGGCGTCTATACGTCGTCGATCTGATTCTTTGACTGTCCATGTCTCGCATGCATAGTAAAATATGGAAAAGACCAGAGTTGAAACGAGTCTCTTTTTGTTTGTCATAGTAATGTGACGATCACGCCAGACCCCGTTTAGTTCACTCATTGCTGCTCTTGCTAGTTGAATGCGTCTTCTAATTTCGGATTCACAACTGCCTGTGTTGTTTACTAGAGCTCCAAGATATATCATAGATGAGACTACCTCGCATCCCGCAATAGTTTGGGTTTCAGGAAACTGTTGTTGGCGATCAATAACCATGATTTTGGTTTTGTTGTAGTTAACCATGAGTCCAAATTTAGCACTTTCTACCTCGAGTTTTTTTAATAATTTAGTAATTTCTTCTGAAGTAGAAGCTAGAAGTGTAGTGTCGTCTGCGAAACGCAAGTTAGATATCTTAACACCACCTAGGTTTACTCCTCCCTCCCAACCATCCAAAACTCTGCGCATTATGAACTCCGAATAGATGTTAAATAATAAGGGAGATAAAACGCATCCTTGGCGTACTCCCTTCTCCAAAGTGCATTTGTCAGACAGATATCCGTCCATTCGAATATATGCCAGGTTATCTTGATACAGTTTGCTAATAAGGTGAGTCAAGTGTTTAGGTACACCCATTGTCGTCAATATGTTCCATAGTTTGTCCCATCTAACATTATCAAAGGCCTTTGTATAATCGACGAAACATATAAATATCGGGATCTGGTATTCTCTGGCTTTTTCTATGATGTTTCGTACATTAAGGATTTGTTCTCTAGTACCTTTGCCCTTTACAAATCCAGCCTGCTCAGGTGCTATTTGCCAACTTATGAAGTTTTCTAGACGCCGTTGCAGTATGTAGAGGATCACCTTACTGGCGTGTGATATTAGAGCCAATAGCCTGTAGTTGTTACAATTATTTGTTGAACCTTTCTTATGAAGAGGTATGATTATGGTCTTTCTCCAATCCTCAGGCCAGACGCCTGTGTGCCATATTTCATTGCACAATCGATGTAATATTTTCACTCCACATTCCGGAAGATGCTTCAAGACGTCTGCAGTAATGAGATCATATCCTGCTGCTTTGTTTAACTTAAGTCTTTTTAAAGCGAATTCCACCTCGGAAAAAAGTATGTCAGGTTCAGATTCAAAACTAGTGTGGTGTGTCTCTGTTGAAGGAGAATGGAAAGTGGAGGTCTGGCAGTCAGGTACAAACGGGGCGTCCGCTGGCATCTGGTCCGTATTGGCGTATAAAGACTTACAATACGCCCTCCAAACATCAATAACCTTGTCCAAATCCGTCTGTACATTACCTTCATCATCTTTGATAGACCAAGATTTCTGCTTGAATTTACGTGTGAGTTGTCTGACTTTATCAAAGAGTTCTTTGGTGTTATTTGTGTCGGCGTGTAGTTGAATTTCTCTGCAGATTTTCTCTATATGCTTGTTTTTGTCTCGTCTACAAGCAGCCTGAATAGCTCTAGATAGCTGTCGGTACTGGGAATTCCTGAGAGGGTTCTCGATTCCAGCAATTTTAAGTTTTCTACGTTCTTCAACGAGGTCAAAAGTATCTGTAGACATCCACACTTTTTTTGGTCCGGTTGAGACGGCATTAGACTGTGCCTCGCAGTCAGTCAAGGTCTGTATCAAGGTATTTTTAAAAGATAACCAAATCTTTTCGGAATCATGAGTGACGATAGTTGGTAAAATATTTTCGAATCTTTCATTACATTGGATTTTAAATTGTTGTGTATCTTTTATTTTTGATATCCTCTTGTTTCGGATCCTAGCACATGCCTTGAATTTTTGCTTTAGCGTTGCAACAAGAAGTTGGTGGTCAGAGCCGCAGTCAGCGCTAGGTCGTGTTTTACATTGGCTAATAGATGTTTTCCAGCGATGTTTAATCATTATGTAATCGATCTGATTTCGGTGTCGTCCGTTAGGTGAGATCCAAGTGTACAATCTTCTGGGGTGGTGCCTATACATAGAGTTCATTATTGTCAAGTCATTGTCAACGCAGAACTGGATAAGGCGGTCTCCCCTTGAATTGCGTTCACCTATTCCATATCTACCCACAATATTTCGTATATGTTCGTCAGCCATAGTAACACCGATTTTTGAGTTTAAATCCATGATATGATTCCAGCTCGTTGAAAAAATATTCAGTTGTATCATCATCAGCAGTTGAGGGGTATCAAATGAAATCCAGGGGGGCATGAATCAAATGTACAATAGAGGGAGATCCATTTAGTTTTAAGGAAATTATACGATCACTGATAGCTTGATATCCCAGTATATAGAGAGAGAAAGAGATTTTGAAACCCAGAAGCCAACACCATTGATACTTTTGTTAGTGTTGCCGGAAAAGCACATGAAATGTCCCAAATTAGTTATGTAGTGCCCCTCGTTGCGGAAGTGAAGTTCAGAGAGCCCGGCCACAGAGATATTGGTTCGTTCCAGTTCCTTCTCCAGAATAGCTTGTTTGCCCGGTTGTAAAAGACCACGGACATTCCATGTAGCTATGTTGTATGGTTTGCGGTTATTAAGTTTTTGTTTTTCACCAGTAGCACATTTCGCATGTAAAGCCTGATGTGTCACGTCTACATGCCCGGTAACTGATTTCACACATTCCTCCCCGGACGAGAAGATGCGCCGGGTGCCATCCGGATCGCGAAGCTCATCATCCGAGGCCTCGCAGCTATTGCTCATATCATGAACGTTCGTGGGTGAAACTCACGACCAGTAGGAGATACTGTGGGTGTATTCTTTTTAGCGACCCGCATCCCACACGGGTAAACATCTGGGTCTACATCTGTTAAAAAAATGTCTAACTTAAAATCTGGGGGTGTACACTCAACACTAAATTTCGGACCAAGGGAAAGAAAATCAGACACTTCTTTTTAAAAGTCAACGCTAGACAAGTTTTTAAACCATTTGTCATTGTTTAAAAATAAGTGGTTGGAAAATAAGTTATTAGTGAGATGTTCAAACTTTTTTATGTTAGTACGCTTGACTTGGTTGAAAACATTAAAAAAACTATTCTTTAACCTTTGTTCATATTCAATTAATATGTTGTTAGGAACAAATTGTTGTAACTCACACTTAATTTTATTAATATCAGTTTTCGCATTTGAAACACTAATACAAGTTATTTTTATTTCTAAATTCAATGTTTTTTTATGGATCTCATTAATGAATTTATCTACTTTAATATTTAAAAAATTGTCATTACCTGCGTATAATAAGCTTCGTAGATTAAAAACACTGTTACGAACGTGCTCAGGTGTAACATTAGATGTTCTACAACGTAATAAAAAAATTCTTCTGTTGTTCAATTTTGCTATCCTTATGTTTAACTTCGCCCATTGTTTCATTAAAGTTGTAATGTTTGTTCCATATATTTGGCTAATCTCTTGATAAAAACCTATCATAAAATATTTAACGTGATTATTTCGACCAAAAAACAATTTATCAGGATGTTGGAAATATCGGGTATGTGGTCTATATAAAGTCCAGAAACACTTTCTTCGGCTTAGATGTATAAACATCTAATCTGGATAAAGTACAAAATCTTAAAAATTTATACTTCAAAACACTAACGAACTATATTTACTAATTACAGATCTGGAAAAGGAGTTTACGAATTGAAAGATCAGTACTACGATGACTTCAACGTATTTTTCTACCATTACACCAGAGAAGAATTGTCCAAATCTGAAGAAGCGCAGAGAAAGAGACACAAGGCAAAAGGAGAAGTAGAATGTTGTCCTCCACCCAAGTTACCCAAGCTGAATGAATCTTTCACACTAATCGTAAACGTCTTACAATGCGATGTTATGCTGCATGTGATGTCAATTGTTTTGGAAAGGTACAAATGTTTTGTAATTTTGGCTTTTAGTTTGTTACAGTTCACTATTTGCTGTTATTTACGTTTTTTCAGTTGATCTTGTAGCGTTACTGAAAGACATTTATTGGAACTGTATCTATACAATCATACAAGAAAGAAATGTTATAAGACAGCGATTTGCGTTGTAAATTACTTCGCTAAAAAACAAAATTACTTCGTATTCTAACAATTCATTTTTTTGTGTTTAGTGAAAACTTGCCACCGTTTAGCCAGATGTTCTTTTGTCAGGTTCGCTTTTACCTTTACCTTTGTCGTGAATAATAGTTGTAATAATAATTGTATTATTCTTGTACACTGTATATTTTTACAACTATCACAAATATTCATAATCACAGGATAATCTTTTATGCTTCAATTTGTCTTGTTCTACACTCACCGGCACGAAAACTTTTATTATTATAATAACGTAAACACAAGCGAAACAAACTGTTTTAAGTAATTTCTAATAAAAATTTGACTTTTGAACAAAGAACTGTTTCAGTAGATAATTTAAAAATTAAGGGAAAAAATGTAAGTAAAAACCAAATGATGCTCAATTAATGAAAACTTAAATCATGTGTCCGGACTAACTGAATTTAATAATGTTTCCTCCACATGCTCGAATTATTGCCTGAATTCTTATTGGCATGCCTAAAATCAAGTTAAAAATGCCATATTGAGGAATAGGTTCCCATTCCTCTAAAATGGCTTCTTGTAACTCATTTAAGGTTAAAGGAGCAGGAACACGACTTTGTATCCTTTGCCCAAACATGTTCGATTGGATTTGCGTCTGGACTCAATGCTGGCTAATCCATTACAAGAATTTTTATTTCATTTAAAAACTGTTGAGTGATTCTCGCACTGAGGCTTGGCATTATCATGCATCAGAACAAAGTTATTTCCAATAAAACCAGCATAAGGCACAACAAAATCTTGGAGAATTTCATCAATGTACAGTTGCGGTCACGGAATAGTTTACACCTTACTTTTTATATTGTAATACTGTAAAATTGCAGTGTCGTACGGATTTGATAAATGTCAAAGTCAAAAAATTTCAAAACGTCAATGCTTTCGCGAGTGTTCAACAATAAAATAAAAGTATATTAAACTCTTCCAAAATGGTTAGAATACATTTGAATTATGCGCAAAAAGCAAGAGCAATTGCCAAACTCGAAGAAGGTTGGTTACTAAGGCAAGTTGCTGCTGATTTGAACGTGAGTCATATGTGCATATGGAAGATTAAGCAAAGATGGGATAATTTTCACTCTATAGCACGGTTGGGCGGTTCAGGAGGGCAGAAGATTTCCACAGATCAACAGGATGAGATGTTAGTAGATTATTTGAGAGAATCTCCTTTTGCCACAGCTCAAAAGGCAAGAGAAGAGGCAGCGTTTCCAGGCAGTATTCGCACTGCACGTCGAAGAATTAAAGCAAGTGGACTGCTAAATTGTGTAGCTGCACGGAAACCTTTTTTGACTGAGGATCACAAGAGGAGACGAGTTGAATTTTGTAATGAATTTATAAACCGCGATGAGAATTTTTGGTCTAGGGTTGTATTTTCCGATGAAAAAGTATTTCAGTCGTATAATAATGGTCGAATAAGAGTTTATAGGCCGAGAAATCATAGGTATGATGAACAGTATACGCATCATTTAAGAAATAGTGGAGGATTCTCTGTCAACGTATGGGGATGGATAAGTGCCGAAGGCCCGGGCGTTTGTTATCATGTAGAGGAGAAGTTAACAGGATTATATTACAAACATATTATTGAGCACACAATGTTGCCATCGGTGATCCAGAGATTCTCCAACAACGACTTTATCTTCCAACATGACAATTGCCCGGTGCATACGAGTAGAATTGTTCGAGAATGGCTAGAAGAAACTGATGTTAATGTTCTTCCGTGGCCTTCCCGTAGTGCAGACTTTAACCCCGTCGAAAATGTGTGGGCAGAGTTAACAAAGAAACTAAATGAAAGAAACCTTAGACCACGGAATAGAATTGAATTATGGGAAGCAATTGAGCAGGCATGGGAAGAGCTTGTTAACTATAACATGAGGGGATTGGTGCTATCTATGAACAGAAGACTGCAAAATTGTATTGACAAGAATGGGGCTTCCACCAAATATTAATTATTATTTATCATTGTTTATCGTTATTTAATATAAAATAGATTTAAAATAAAATGCATATTAAAAAAAAGACTTCTTTATTTTCGTTATTAAGATCATAATCCATTTTATTCAAAAAACTGTTTTCTATATTTTTCATTTTGTAAAATATTTTGATATTTTAATTTAATCTACCTATTCTAGCTAGTACACCACTGGCAACGTCACTTTGACGTAAAAGGTGCGTTTAAACGAAGTAAAAATTTAAAAAATGGGCTCCTAGATACGTGAACCTGTAAACTATTCCGTGACCGCAACTGTACCTGGCAGATGTTATGGAGCCTCTAGGAACTATGTACAATTCTGCATGTGTCTAGAGAAATTCCAGCCCACACCATGATTGAGCCCCCTAGGACTGAAGGTACATTCTGTAAAACACTCATATGGTCTTCTCCATACTCTCTCACGCCCATCTAGAGACCGCAAGGTAAATCTGGACTCATCAGTAAATAAAACGTGCCTCCAATTATTTACAGTAAAATGAGCCTGGTTTCTGGTAAACTGAAGCCGCTTAACTCGATGACACCTGAGAAGTTATAGGCCTGTTGCAGATCTGAAGCAACGCAATAATAACAGCCGCTGTTTGAGGATTTACAGCCCCAATTCTTAAGATTAAATCAATGCAATTTAACTTCAAATTGTATTTGAGACTTGATTCTACTTGACAGTTTACTCACATCAACAGGTACAAAAGAATAACAATAGAATACCAACAGCTATTTTTGCACTTTTAAAAGTAATAAGAATAGTGTATTCTTTATTTCTGATTTTTTATGCATTTTTTTTTTTTTCGAATAAGCAATTATGTTTTATTAGAAATTACAAAAACAGTTTGTTTCTTTTGTGTTTAAATTATTATAACAAAACTTTATAGAGAATTAAAATTTTAAGTTATTTTAAAAATGCAAGTGCTCCGTTTTTCGTGCCCGTGAGTGTAGTACTCTTTCGTCAATGGCTTTTACTGTTCCTTCCATCTATTTTTTGTGGCATCCTTCTTTTTCTGGTTAACTTAGAATTTGCTTTGCCATTCGTTCTTTACATCTGCCCCTTACACATCCATGCCAAATTAAATTTTTCGGTTCACGTATTAATGTGTGGAATATTTTACCATATTGTTTTATTTGTGAATCGTTATTTTTCACTTTCCTGATTCCCATATCCAGAAATAAATCTGTATATGTAAACCGGGAGTTATGTAAACTTTTACTTTTTACTTTTTTTAAAAAAACGAAACCGGAAGTCGACCTCAAAACCGGAATGCAATTTTTAGTTCATCAAATGTCGACATGGATATCATTTAGCAGTTAATTTTGCATGCTGATCACGAATCCGGTGTCAGATTTGCTCTATCTTGACGTTTTATGCGCGTTTCGGGTCACTTCCGGTGTAGGATCGCAACCGGAAGTACATATTTAGATTCGTCTCGACGAGACCTTTCGATCCATATATACATTATGGGGTCTAAAATTTTAATAAATTTAGTAAATTTTAACTTCCGGTCATCTCAAAACCGGAAGTGAATTTTTGTACCAAAAGTATATCTTGACAATCTCATACGTAATACTAATAATATTCCGAAAAAATATTTTAATTATCTAATATGGTTTTTGAGTAAAGTGGTGGACAAGAAAAGGGCTTAGCGTTTTAGTATATAAGATTTTAGTTCCACTTTATTTATCTTGAGTATGTTAGGAATACAGGGTTGGAACTCAAAGAAATTAGTATACAACAGCTACTACATCTTGCAACACTGCAAGTTTAGTCCACTCTAACTCAATGCTCTGGCAAGTTCACTCCTAAGTTGTTTTGGGAGTTTGAATTTTGGCGCTAGTAACATTCGTTACTAATTAAGAAAAGTAAAATATTACATTTTAACGTTTGAAAAGATAGAGAAGAGTTTGCAATTGTATTAGCCAACCTCCATTGAGGAGAGAGCACTCTAATAAGAAGATAAAATATAAAATAATATACTCTAATAAAAGATAAAATAATATATTGCTTTAATTTTCCAATTATTTATCTCTGTTAACGTTTAATAGCCGTTCTGGCTAACAACAAGAAATAAAGAAAATTTCTGACTTAAATGAAAATAATTGTATATTCAAAAACTGTCTTATTAGTTGGTTCCTTAACTATGTAACTAACTGACTGGCGTTATCGATCTCGAAACTTCGTTGTATCTCCACAGAAAAAATATTTTGGGCTAAGTGTGCAAAACGATGTGTTCATTAAATTTTTTTATTCGGCAATATTATCAGCCCACGAATAGTAATTATATTAGAAAGTCATTATTGCAACAAATAATAATAAATTTACTCAGTGCATCGTTGCCAGTTAGATCTTCGCAACCTATTACTACTTCGTAGCTCTTTAGAAAATATATTACCTCTACCATACACACATACATTTTATTTTTGACGAAATTAGATACGTACAAGACTATTTAAATCCGTGGACACTTTTGTGAAGCACGGTTAGAAGCGAGGTGCCGCAAATTGAACCGACTTTATGACCAGTTTATGCCCACGCCGATCACACGGGGACAAATTTTATCACCACCGTACAGTTTTCGTGGGTCGTGGCGTGCATGTTCCACTCCCACTACTCCCTGTTGTTTACTTTTAGTCGTATGGAACTTCATTAGATAACTTAAACTCTCCATGGTTTTTTTTAATGCTGATTTTTGTTCTTTGTTTGTTTGACTTTTGTTCTATGTTCTTTGTATTCTGCTTGACATTCAGGAAAAAGGATTTTTCGTCTGTAGATACTATGATTAGAGAAAAATTTGTATCGTGATCAAATCTCGTCCTCACGTCATCCTTGTTCTTGTGATATATTATGCTGAATGCCCATCGTGACCAGGCTTATCGGGCTTATCACGGTGGGCATGATAAGGCCGATTTCCGTGTTTTTAACACGTTTCGAACCGCTCTTGAAGAAATTCTTGTTTTTTCCTATTCTAAACATTTCTCAAGTTACAGCCCTTACATGCCTATCACCTAAGCAATATTTAAGGTAAGGAATAACATAACTGGATTTTTGGTAATTCTTCAATATATAAAATTTTCTCGAGAATATTATTAACTGAAGAGGAGTAAATAAGAAGTCGGGTCAGTTCTTAAACGTCGTTACCAATGTAAAATGTTATCTCGATCTGTCTGATTTGGAGGTATAGTATTCAATCCCATCTTAAAATCATATTTAGACTTCCGAAGCTGTATATGCATAAATATATAGTCTCATATATACCATATATATCATCATCTCATAGTCGTCCACTGCTGAACATAGGCCTCCTCTAAAAACTTCCATTCAGATCTATCTTGCGCAGTTGCAATGCAATTAGTAAATATACTCTTTATGTTATCAGTCCATCTCGTGGGTGGTTTTCCCAGATTTCGTCTATCCGCTCTCCTTATATTCTTCTTCCTCAGCTTTTCCCTTACCAGGATCGCTGTTCCTTACTCTTCGTCGCCATTCATTTCTCTCCATCGGGTCTTCCTCATCTAAACCCTTCTTTCTTGAATCTTTTGAGACTGTAGTCACCCCTGTCCTTTCCCTAATCAAGTCGTTTCTGATTCTGATCCTTCTACTCTAGGTCTTTTATACTTCGTCTTCGATCTGCTAACCTTAAGTCTCCCTATTCATTAGCCCCTCTCCAACACTCCAACTTCTTGTACATTTCTTTGTTGTCCTCTACTAACACGATATCATCAGCAAAGAGCATTGACCAAGGATCTTCCTCCCTTACTCTGTCAGTACATCCACAAGATTAAACAGGTAAGGGCCTTGATATATTTCTTGTCCCTTATCGTGTCTCCTGAAAGTATTTCTTTTTTATTATCTGGCTTTTATCTAAATGTGTTGTTTGTAAATTTGTATTTTTTATCTGTAATAAAGTAATCTATTTCGTTGCCGGTATTACCGTCTGGGCTCCTCCATGTCCAACGTCTGTGTTGCTTTTTACAAAAAAAAAGTAGTTTATAAGAAAAAGTTATTCATTTAATAAAGATTATTCCTACCCGGTCGAAATTTTAGATATTTCCGATGCATCTAACCGTGTTCCATTTTTTGTGTTGAAATTGTAATCTATGAGAGTGTACTGTTATGTTCTCTCTTATGGTTCTAAACACATATTCGTAAAATTGTTCTACCTCTTCGTCGCGATGAGTTGTTATTGCGTAAACTTGTATGAACTTAACCGTACATATATATATATATATATATATATATATATATATATATATATATATGTAGGTCTTAATTAATGTTCTTTTATTATTTGAAAGGGAACTAACGTTAGAATAAAAGTCCGCGATCCATACGAGACGTCATTATTACATAACAATAAACTGTAAGGGGGGTATTTACAGGTACACAAAATTACAAGATTACGGATAATTGTCTGCGAATTAAAATATCGGACACCCCGGTGTTTTCATCACCCCGATGTAGAACTATTTTCATTTTTATATCTGTAGTCTTGGTCTGTCGCGGTTCATAATTTTCCACTAATTCTTTTATCTCCATCTTGATAGTTGTGTCTTTTATATGTTCCAGTTGTAAATTATCATCGTGTGTCGCCTCGTCAACGGCAATCCTCATTAACATATTATCTACTTATTTTTGCATACAATAATTCCATCTTCGGTTATGGTAACCTCCGCTTGTTTTAGTATATTGTTTCCAAGAATAACTTCGACGTCTAGTGCTCCTTTTGGGATTACATGAAATAAAATATGAAAATCTTCGCCTTGAATTTCCACTATTATGTTAAAAGAACCTAAAGTTTTAACCTTAATTCCTCCCAGTCCATTTAACTCTACTATATTCTTCATAAGAATGACGTCATCAAAGTGCTTTTCAAAAGTATCTTGTCTGATTGCACTTATGTCACTTCCTGTATCAAACATATAGTCTTGGTCTGTCGCGGTTCATAATTTTCCACTAATTCTTTTATCTCCATCTTGATATTTGGGTCTTTTATATGTTCCAGTTGTAAATTATCATCGTGTGTCGCCTCGTCAACGGCAATCCTCATTAACATATTATCTACTTCTTTTTGCATACAATAATTCCATCTTCGGTTATGGTAACCTCTGCTTGTTTTAGTATATTGTTTCCAAGGATAACTTCGACGTCTAGTGCTCCTTTTCGGATTACATGAAATAAAATATGAAAATCTTCGCCTTGAATTTCCACTATTATGTTAAAAGAACCTAAAGTTTTAACCTTAGTTCCTCCCAATCCATTTAACTCTACTATATTCCACAATTATAACATTGTTCTTCTTTCTTAATCCTATTTTCCAACATTCTTCTGTCATCTCCTCTAGCTTCATTGTTTCTGCCGTCTCGTCGTACTTCATTGTTCGTCCACTTCTTTCTATGCGTTTCAGTTGTAGAGGATTTGTGTGTCGTCTGTTTTTTAATGAGTTCATACAATTTAATTTTTTCCTTGAAGTCTCTGAAGTTGTTTGCGCCATAAATTTTAACTTCATTAACAGGGTCGTCTTGAATACCTTCTATTGTATATTGTATTATAATCTCGTCCTCTATGTTACCTCTGCTACCAGTTTCCCTCATCGTCAGTACACACTCCTGTACACTTTCATCATGTTTCTTCTTTCTACGCATCAGCATTTTATGTATTTCAGCGCTACTTATTTTATTTTCGAATTCCGAAATAAGTCTTTTCTTCAATAGTTTCCAATTAATTCCTTTTTCTGACTGAATATACAGTTTCGCAATACCCTTTAGGGATCGTTTGGCAAAAATTAACATTTGCAAATCATTCCATCCCATTAACTCAGAAATTTCTTCGAAGTCAGTAATCAATTTTCTTACCGGATAATCGTCTTTTGCGTCGAAGGGTCTTATGCTGTGTTCTACGTCTTTCAAAGTCAAAGCAAAAGAATCATTTACTTTACCGGCCGTCATTCTACCTGATTTTGTTTTTTTCTTCGTCTTTAAAGCCATCGTCGGCCTACTTTCAGTATCGTTCTCGTATTCATTATCGTCTTCGTCGTCGAAACCGTCTTTTTCTGTCTTTCAGTGTCTGAAGAAACCAGTGTTAGCTCAGGGAGGCGGATAGGATAGATTAAAGTACATTTCACCCAAGACCATTTGCATGTGAAGGCCCTCATGACTCGCAAGGTACGGTTCATGAGCGTATGAGTATTACATATTACGGAACATATTATGTTCCGTATGGGTAGTGAGTACAGACTGTACGGCTCGTTCAGCATGGAGATCATACACATATGTAAGCGAATTTCGAGGAATTTTATTGACCTTCGTTAGAATCGCCTTTTTATAAATATTACAGAGCGATTTGTAGTGAGCAGTAAATTGTGTTGCAAATAAAACTTTCTTGTTAAAAAACACATTTTATTGTATCGAATAGATGTGGAGCAATTCTCGTTTATATATATATATATATATATATATATATATATATATATATATATATATATATATATATATATGACGCTAAAAGTAATAAAACTCTAATATTATATGTATTTATCATCAATATCATTTTCAGGTGTATCAACTTACGGGCTCGTAGTTTCTCAGAACAGCAACTCCACAAAGTGTTACATCTCGTCGGCTACGCTCTTTTAGAAGAAGAATCCAACAATTATCCCTTCTTTAAGTTTATCGAAAAATCCCAGAAGTTTAGAATCTTTACTCTGATGGAAGAGCTGTTAACGTGTCCGAGAGTTGATTCGCATAAAGGTTTATTGCGTTGGACATTGAACAAATACAAACAGCTCACTGACAAGAAGGATGATACTTTGGAAGTGAACAAAGACGCTTCTACGTCTGAGAAGGTTAGTCCATTTTTACTTCAATCAATTATTGTCATTTTATATAGACTTAATTTGCTTTCTTCATAAGTCATTTGTACCGTAAAAAGAGCTCTCGTAAAGTGCAAATTATTACATTAGTGCACTCATAATAAATATAATATAAAGTCGTTATAGATATTATTATGCATTAATTTTAGTACAGTTCAAGAAAGCAAAACTATAAATTACTAATTGATTTGGCAATCCGGCATTAGTGACCGTCTTGTCACTGTGCAAGTTGGCGCAGATAGAAGTTTCAATTATTTCTGTCATACTATTACTGTACCAAATTGTAACATGTCTAACACAATATCCCAGAGAGAAAAACCATAAAAATATAAAACGATAATATTGTTTAGATTAATCGAAATCATACAGACTATCATCGAATGAGATATGTATTACAAATTAGCAATATCTTTATAAATTATGAAATACCAGTCTCTTTTCCCGCTCCAACAACGAATGTTTTTAAGAACAACTGAAAGTACAAAGAATAGACATAAAAGATCGATATACTAATAATGAACTAAGTAAGAATAAAATATGAATTGACGAATAAGCGGCGGTCATGTTTTGACCACAGGGCATTGTTGAATTACATCTGAAGCTGTGCTCAGATTGACAACGCGTACAATGCCGTCAATTAGAAACGAATAGAGTCGAATCAGTAGAATTTTTCGACCTACTAAACTAGAAAGACTCAAACAGAATACCGTTTGCCTTTTTCATGTGAGTTGTCATTGCCGCTAGAGTTGGGAAGCTCTGTTTGCACCACACACATTTGAGTACACCTATGTTCAACCAATGAGATTGCCAAGCGCTGTGTCTGTTGCTAGCTGAGTTAACTGGAGCTGCATTTGCTATAGTTCTGAAAAGGTCTTCACCAGCAAGCTTGCTTAATTCGCTCATCACCTCTAGAGCTTTAGTAGCCTCGTTGGGAGCTGAAGGTACGTGTTTCATTTTATTAAAATTTAGGTTTTTGAGACAATCCAGCCTCAGCTACTGCTGCTGCAAAATACGACAAGTGAGACACGCCAATATTTGGTGGCCACTGCGGAAGAGTTGGTTTAAACTCATTCCTGTTTCCTGGGCAACGGTTGCGTCATTACTTCTTCTGATATACCTTTCGTCTGCTCACTGATAAGTTCAAAGGAGCTCCTGTTTCTCCCGCTAATGGAGAACTTGGTTTTCCAAAGTTAACATCGGAATCGCTATCACTAGTATCACTTTTATTATGACTTATTTTGCTAAAGTTCAAAACACCATCACCAGTAGGCGATTGCATAGGCTGATCTACCGGAGAATGATTGAATGCTCCTGGCGGTGATGAGGAAGACGATATCAACGGAGAAATAGGAGCCCTAGGAAAGCTCGGCGGTAGCGGCGATGTCATCATCAACCGATGAGACTGTTGAGCGACTGCAGCTGCATTCAGATACGCAGTCATAGCGGCTGACTGCGGAGGCAGAAAAGCTGCTGCACCAGGTATCGTCGGTAGAAGGGCGACTCCCACGGAACTTAAAGACGTGCCCAAAGGTATACCTCGAAGCAAAGCTGCTCGTTCGGTCATCATCTCTGAGTCGCCGAGTGGAGACCTGGGAGGAGATGGAGATTCTGCAGAATCACGAGAGTTGCAGCGAGGCGGAGAATTCCTGCAAATTCTCGTGTCCTCTACCGGCAACCTAGGACTATGGGGTCTTAGGATGTTTCCAGCAGACGGTGAAGAAACCTCGTCTTCATTTTGTGATGGAGAAGCAGCCGAAATCGGCTTCATCGATTCCAAATCGTCGGGGACCAAATGTTTTGTGGAAAACTTAAGAGGTCGCTGGTTAAATGAAATTAGAATATAATCGAAGAAAAAATGCAATATTTTGACTGTAAATAAAAGTAGCGAAAAATAGCAAATATTTAATTGTGAATAAATTACGAGCATTAACTAATTTTAACTCATTACTGTTATCTGTACAAAGAACATAGACTCACCTTAATTATTAACATAACCTTAATTATTAATATACTCAACATAATTATTTTCAAAACGACAAAAGAAAGTCAAATCCTTGGACATAAAAACAGACATGGCATATTTAAGCCAATTTAACAATGAGATTTTACGAAATAACAGAAATTAATATCTTATAAAGCGAAGTAGTTAGGATATACCATTAAATTAGATCATATAGTATAGTAAAAGAATACTATAGCTTCTTTCAGCTTAGCCACATATTTATTTTATAAATAAAAAAAGTAATGTTTTAAAAATAATCTTTGTCTTTTTTGCTAGGTGGACAATGAAAAGGAAAGAAGAGCTAAGTTGGCAGCAGAAAGACGAGCTATATTAATGGCCCAGATGCAGGTGATGCAAAAGAATTTTATAAAAGAAAATGCCAGTTTGTTTGAAGAAACTAGCACTGGCGAGTTGTAAGTATTGATTTATTCATATAGTCTTTTAGCTTCATTTAAACGCATTTCGAGAGTAGATCATTATATTCATCTTGCAGATAGGTGCTTCTGAATACGGGCACTAGCTTTGGAAATATAATCACAGAAGTATTAGAGACCAAAATAAATATTTAAAACAAAACATTAGTCTGTAGTTTTGTGCGATTCTTTTGTCCGTTTGCGGATTAGTGTTTTCAAAGTTTTTACTTCGCGTTTATAAAAAAACTAGAAAAAACACATTTAGGGTAAACTGGTCGGTCCATAGTGGGACGCGGTCCATAGTGGGAATTTCACTCTCCTGACTATTTTATCATCGCGGTAGAGCTATATTTCAGTGTGTGTGCTATCATAAAATTGCCACCTCCGAATCTTGTGTTAGTTTTTCAATTAGTACTATGCGTTTCGATATTTTGGAAATTCAGGAAAGTGATCAGCTGAAAATTTTTATTTCCATGTTCAGATTTTTTCGAATAATTCGCCGAAATATATCCTATTTAACTAGAATTTGGTATGGATATCTAAAACATACATAAACTCAATATTATCGTATTCTATTTAAACCTAGCTCTTCCACTTCGATAAAATTTTTGCTCATTTGTATTTTGATGCGCCATGGTCCATAGTGGGAATAAAAAAGCGGTCCATACTGGGATATGATAATAGAATGCGGTCTATGCTGAAATATACTAAAAGATGCTAAACATTTTCATTCTTTGCATAATTGAATATGCCGAAATATCCAAGATCCCAACTGTCAGTAGTTTTTAAGAAAAGCCTAGAGAATCATGAAGTATATGCAAGATCTATGCATTCTGCAGTAGAAGATGTTGTAAAAAATCAAATGTCATTGATGAATGCGTCCAAAAAGTATGGTGTAAGCAAGTCAGTTCTACAGCGCAAAGTGAAGAAGTTTAAATTAGATAAAAAAGCTAATGAAGACAACTGATTTTGAATACGGACGAACCCATGGTTTCAAAAGTATATTTACAAGTAGAGAGGAACAGCTATTGTGCGAGTACATAATTCAGGCTTGTGAAATGTGCTACGGCTTAACATTAATACATACTCGTGAATTGGCTTATAAGTATGCCATTACTAACAATAAAACGATGCCTCGAACTTGGCACGAGAAAAAACGAGCTGGAGTCTAATGGTTGAATAATTTTTGAAAACGACACCCTATGTTATCGCTTAGAAAACAAGAAGCAACTAGCCTTGGCAGGGCCACCAGCTTCAACAAGCATAATGTGGCTACATTTTTCACAAACTTGAGGAGTGTAATAACGAAATATAATATCCAGTCGAACCAGATATACAATTGTGATGAGACTGGTGTCACCAATGTGCATAAACCCGGGAAGGTACTTGCTAGCATTAAACAAAAACAAATTGGAAAAGTGACAAGCGCTGAAAGAGGCACATTAATAAAAATGTGCACTGCAATATGCGCTAATGGGACTTTTGTGCCTCCATTCTTTGTATTCCCGAGGAAAATATTTAAGCCCTTCATGCTTACTGGGGCTCCTCTAGGATCAGCCGGTGCAGCGTTTACTTCTGGTTGGATGACGGGAGATAATTTTTTAAAGTATATAGGAGGACTTTATCAAACACGTGCGATGCAGTAAAGAATTCCCAGTTCTACTAATTATGAGAGCCGTTACGATGTTCGTGTGCTGAATCTATGTAAAGAGAATGGGATTATTTTATTGACATTGCCGCCCCATAGCAGTCATAAATTACAACCGCTCGACGTGAGTTGCTTCTTTCCATTTAAAAGCTATTATAATCAAGGAGTTGATGACTGGATGCTAAATCATCCTGCCATACCTATGAGCATTTATGATGTTTGTAATGTTGTTGGTAGCGCTTACCCTAAAGCATTCACTCCTGTCAACATTCTTAACGGATTTAAAAAAACAGGCATAGTGCCCCAGAATTCCCAAATTTTTTCAGAGAGTGATTATATGTCATCTTATGTCACTGATAGGTCCGAAGAAAATGAAAATGGAAATGGTAACGAACATAAGGCTAACGAAGGTGTTCAGGATATGGAAGATGTTCAGGATGTAGATGTTCAGGATGTAAAAGAACCACGACATGTCAGCCCAATTGATGACCTATCCAATATAATAACCCCTCAGCAAATTAGGCCACATGCCAAAGCTGCTCCTAGGAAAAACCTTGAAGAAGCAGAAAGAAGCTACAGTCAGCAATAATAAGAGACACCCCCATTAAAGATGCCATAGAGGAACAGCATAAAGAAAGATTGGCTAAAAAAACATTTTCAAAAGAGAGAAAGCAGAAGGCTACAAAAGTTAAACGTCAAGTTTTTAATGATATTAGTTCGAACAGTGATGTTAGTGAAGAAATCTGCAACGATTCTAGCGATTTAGAAGGCTTCACATCAGAAAATAAAGATTTGTCTATTCAAAGTCATGACTATGTTATAGTAAGATACATGACAAAAAAACTGTTAAACATTATGTCGGTCAGGTTATTAAAATACGTGGAGATGAATATAATATCTCTTTCTTGAAGAGAATTGTCGCCGGCAAATTTGTTTTCCCCGATAAACCCGATGTAGATACCGTAGAAGCAAAAGATATTTTGTTAAAACTGACCCCTCCTGCCATTAGTGGAAGTACAGCTAGGGCTGCTCGCCAGTTTATGTTCCCTGTTAATTTGTTACAATTTAAAATAGACCAAAAGAGTTTTTTACTAAAAATCCCACTATGGACCACTATGATTCCCACAATGGACCATATAGTGGTTCATAGTGGGACGAGTGGTGCATAGTGGGACTTGTTGAATAATATTTGTTATAAATAAAGGATTACTTGAAGTTATTATTAGTTTGCTTCCTTACATCCATACCCATGCATAGGTACCCTTACTATAATTTACAAACGCTTAATCAACGTGCTATACACTTTTGAAAAAAAACGTCCCACTATGGACCAGTTTACCCTACTCATAAACTATTTTGCATATTGTTGCCAAATCTCACAATGAAAATTGTGTAAGTGTGGATAGAGTAGATGAGTGCGATGTTACGACAAGTTTTGCATCAGTTGGGGTGATCACATGAAGGAAGTCTTAATATGAAAATTAACTAAAACTCCAACAAGTGTCGAACTTCATTCATTAGTATTTAATAATGTTACCTAAGATAATAATTAATATAACGGATGAGCCAAAAGAAGCGGGACGGTGAAAAAAAAAGACAAAAAAACGTGTTTATTATTTTTCAAAGATTATCGAATAACACCAAACACGACCTTCCACCACCACCTCCTGGGAATGGGGAGGAAGCAACTTTAAGAAAAACCCAATTTTATTACAGGTTCGGATTTTACGTGAAAAAGTAAACAAGTTTTATCTGATTTTTTTATTCGTGATAGATGGCGCTGTAATCGCATATAATCTAATTTTTATTTTACTGGATAGAGTTGTTTAAGTAGAATTTGCATATGCAATAAAAAGGGGATGTCTATTTAAAATTTCAAAGTTACTCCGCTGCGCCCTTAAAAGGTAGAGGTGAGGAGTTGTATTGGGTGTCATTCCATAAATATTTGAAAATTCTCAACACCTGTTTTTTGGATTTTCATTTAACAGTGTGTTTCTCGAGATATTAAACCATTTTTATAATTTTCCTAGGGTATCGAGATATATCGTATTTTCCAATTGTAGCGCCATCTATCGACAATTCGAAAAATGTCCCGAATAAAATATACTAATTTTTGCAGAAATGTAAATTTGCAATAAAACGTGGGAGTTCCCATTTTAGATGTTAAAGTTGCCCCCCATCTCACCCCAGGGAGTACATAATATAAAACCGCAAAATATTTAATTTATATCTCTATCACAGTTTCTAGTCTGAGTTAGAATAAAGGTAAAAAATTTGCAGTAGTACATATTTGACAACAATATATAATACGTATATAATATTAAATGTAAATCGAACTTTTATCGGTTGGAGGGTAGTGGAGCTTTATAAACCCTTGAATTTTTTATGGTGTTTTTAACATTTTTGGCGCATTTTGACATTTGATTATTATAAAGTTTTAATCAATCACGCAATTCGTTTATAGTATAAGTCCCATTCATTTACAACTCTTACTAACTGAATACAATCCAATGATCGTCCTTGCTTATATCAAGGTTATATTGCTCAGGTTATCTTACGGTGTCCTTATGAGGGCAATTTTTTGAGCAATATTTTACTCGACAACACCAATAAATCAATCTGGAATAAGGAGTAGAGCAATATGCAGCAATTTCAAAAAATATATGGCAATTGTTTTCGCAATATTGCTTCTCGTTGTTCCATATATTCCCTATTGTTCAATATCGTTGATACGAATTACCTAATATCCAATGTATATAGAAATTCAGACAATTTGTTTTATATCTGTATATTTTTATGTGTTGTATTTAGCAGAATATTTTGTTTTTCGCGTAATTTGTGTTTTTAGCAGTCGTGTTTTTGTTTTTTTAGAACCTTTTGTTAAACAACATTATAATTGAGTCAAAATAATCTACCTTTATATGTTCACAAAGAGCTTCTGCAATACCTCTGCATACTGTGGGGATGAATTGTGCAATAAAACTATCATAAATTTTAAACAGATACATTAAACTTTTGTATGAATACTCAGTAGCTAATAATCGAAGAGATAAGTAGACTTTAACTTTCTAAATTTTCAAAAAATATATTTTTGTTTTTTTTTTACATAAAAACATTCCTTAGTATCATAGAAATACTGTCCTAAAAAAACTGTCCGAAATAAAAACGAAGTTATAGCAGTATTGATAACAGTATGCACCTGAGCTAAAACTCGTTTTTATACAACACTGCGCGCCCCGCTTCACATGTGCACTTGCAACTCGACAATTGCTTTCTAAAGCTTTCTATATTATTGAAATTTATCTATAATTATTATTGTTTTGAAAAGCGGGAAAAAGACCTGGATCTGGTG